GTAGTAGTAGTAGTAGTAGTAGTAGTAGTAGTAGTAGTAGTAGTAGTAGTAGTAGTAGTAGTAGTAAGTAGTAGTAGTAAGTAGTAGTAGTAGTAGTAGTAGTAGTAGTAGTAGTAGTAGTAGTAGTAGTAGTAGTAGTAGTAGTAGTAGTAGTATCAGTAGTAGTAGTAATCGTAGTAGTAGTAGTAGTAGTAGTAGTAGTAGTAGTAGTAGTATTCGTAGAAGTAGTAGTAGTAGTAGTAGTAGTAGTAGTATTAAAGTAGTAGTAGCTGTAGTAGTAGTAGTAAATAGTAGTAGTAGTAGTAGTAGTATTAGTAGTCGGAGTAGTATAGTAAGTTAGTAGTACTAGTAGTAGGATAGTAGTAATAGTTAGTAATAGCAGTATTATAGTAGTAGTAGTAGTTAATGGGTAGTAATTAGTAGTAGTTAGTAGTAGTAAGTAGAAGTAGAAGTAGAAGTAGTAGTAGTAGTAGTAGTAGTAGTAGTGGTAGTAGTATAGTAGTCGTAGTAGTTAGCAGTAGTAGTTAGTCGTTAGTGTCGTAGTAGTAGTAGTAGTAGTAGTAGTAGTAGTAGTAGTAGTAGTAGTAGAAGTAGTAGTAGTAGTAGTAGTAGTAGTAGTAGTAGTAGTAGTAGTAGTAGTAGTAGTGGTAGTAGTTGTATTATGAGTAGTAGTAGGAGGAGGAGGATGTGGAGGAGGAGGAGGAGGCGGAGGAGGAAAGGGAAGAGGATGATGGATGAGAGAGTGTCAGCAGTAGGAGAATGATCGAGTAGGAGGAGGCATGTACAGGAGGAACAGCATAAGGTCGGTGGTGGTGGCCGGGGAGTCTGCGGAGTATGAAGATACTGATGTTTCCGATCACGAAAACGATGATGCTGCTGCTTCTGCTGTTACTTATGCTTACGACGGTGATGCTGCTGATGGTGATGACGATGATGACGATGATGATGAAAATGATGCTGATGCTGATGCTGATGCTGATGCTGATGATGCTGATGATGCTGATGGCGATGCTGATGACGATGATGAGGACGACGATGCTGCTGCAAATGACGACGACGACAGAGTCGACGACGATGATGATGATGATGACGACCATGACCATGATGGCGCGTATGATGATGTCTTGGGTGACGACGGCGACGACAACGACAACGGCGACGATGATGATGACGATGATGATGATTGTACTTGTGATCACGATGAGGATGACGATGACGATGACGGCGACGAGGATGATGATGATGGTGGTGATAATGACGATGACGATGATCATGATGCTGCTGCTGATGATCATGAGGATGAGGATGAGGATGATGATGATGATGATGATGATAGTGAGTATGATGGTGATGATGATGGTGATGATGATGATGTTGATGTTGGTAATGGTAGTGATGATGACATGAGGATGACGACGATGATGATCATGATGATGTTGCTCCTGATGATGATGATGACGATGATGCTGATGATGATTATGCTTTGAGGGGAGCACGATAAAGATGCTGATGAGGAGTCACGATTATGCGTATTATGACGACGGCGATGATGCTGCTGCTGCTGATGATGATGATGATGATGATGGTGATGATGATGATGATGATGATGATGATGATGATGATGATGATGATGATGATGATGATGATTAGGATGATGGTTGTGGTGGTGGGGATGATGATGCTTATGATGATGATGATGATGATGATGATGATGATGATGATGATGATGATGATGATGATGATGATGATGATGATGATGATGGTGATGGTGGTGGTGATAATGAATATGATGACGATTACGCTGATTCTGCTGGTGAGGATGATGGTAGTGGTGGTGGTGGTGGTGATGATGCTGATTGTGATGGTTGGGTGGGGGTCACTGTGGTGATGATGCTGCTGATGATGAGGAAGAGGATGAGCTATGTATCCTCCTGGCGGCACCGCGCCCGCAGCGCCCTGGGGACTGCTTCGTAGCCTTCTCCTCTCCTGCTCCTCCCTCCCGGCCCAGTGCCCCAGGGCGCGTGCCTTCAAGGATTTCGAGGCAGACCCAGCCGTGGCCACGGGAAGCCACGGGAAGCCACCGCGTGACCCGTGATCCTGGCCTCCATCCTCGGTCCCACCCTGGCCTCGAGTCCCGCCTCCTCCTTCTCATCTCTGCACGAACGAAATGGGTGCCGAAAGAATGGGTACAATGCCCAACAGCAGTTCCTGTTCATTTTGAACAGGACTCGCTGTCCGCGCCGCCGCGGCCTGTGTCCATGTGAGACAGAAGGCCGCCTGCCCAACAGCGGCCGCTGTTGGTTTGGGACAATATCTGCTGTTGGGCATTGTGCCCATTTTTTCCGTACCTATTTCGGGCGTCCAAATCATCGGAGCTCGATCCTCCACACTTCACTCCTGGCCCAGAGCCCGCGCCGCGAGCGGGGCCCGCGGACTTCAACCTGGCCGGGCACCCGCAGGCCCGGCGGCGTGAACCGCGGGGACGGGGGGCGCGGGACCGTCAGACCCCAAGGTCGTGCAAGAGTCACGACCAGCGCTCTTGCCCCCAGACCTCCCGCGACGTGATTTGTTGTGTCCGTTTTGTTGTTGTTGTTGCTGTTGTTGTTGGTGTTGTAATGGTTGTTTGTGTTGTGGTTGTCGTTGTTGTTGTTGAACATTATTTATTCTAAAGAATAATTATTGTTGGGGCCCCTGGTGCGCGGCCCCCACGCCGCGCCTAGGCCGCAGCCACATTTTCATCATTTTCGTGAGGAAGTCTCAGGCAAAACGTGGGTGTCCGGATCCGGTTGTTTTGTTGTCCCCCGTTTTCCCTTGCAAAAAATAAGCTAAAGTGGACATTTCTTGTTCTAACATAACCAAACTTCAAGAATCCCTTGCAAAAAATAAGGTAAAGTGGACATTCGCGCGCGCAAGACGAAATCCTTCCAAAACCTTAGTGTTCGTAGCGATTTCAACATAAAAACATCAAAAAACCAATGGTTTTTCAAAAAAAAAGTGTCAAAATTTCATCCCGCGCGCTCTTGCGGATTTGTCGGAAACCCAACACTTTTTAAACATTTCTGTCAAATGGGCTTTTCCGAGCAACTTTTTCGAACTTCTGCAACAACGGTTGCGCACCTGCCAGGGCCATCATCCCTGTCAAATAATACCATGCGGGACACATTCGTTTTTTCTTCGCGCGCGCACGCCGTCGTCGTCGGCCGCGGGGCCCTGAATAGTAGCCACGGTCGTCCGCATGCCACGAAGTGAAGTGTCCGAACGTCATAGGGCGGGAAGCTGGGTGTGGGTGGTGGCGAAGAGTCGTTTGGAAATTTGGTAGAGCTTGAACCGGCCCCCCCACAAAGTGGGGGTATTGCCCGCCTCCTATGAAAACCCTGGCACTGGTGAGAACGGAGTGTCCCCACGTGCTAGTAATTGTTGTTGTTGTTGTTGTTGGTGTTGGTGTTGGTGTTGGTGTTGGTGCTGGTGTTGTTATTGTTGTTGCTGTTCTTGTTGTTGTTGTCTTTGCTGTTGTTGCTGTTGTTGTTGTTGTTGTTGTTGTTGTTGTTGTTGTTGTTGTTGTTTTTGTTTCTGTTGTTGTTGTTGTTTTTGTTGTTGTTGTTGTTCTTGTTATTATTGTTGTTGCTGTTGTTGTTGTTCTTATTGATATTGTTACTGTTGTTATTCTTGTTGTTGTTGTTGTTGTGGTTGTTGTTGTTGTTGTTTGTGTTGTTGTTGATGCTGTTGAGTTCTCATTTCTGAAGAATAATGATTGCTGCCCCCCCCTTCTGGTAACAATTGAACTTTTCGATTCAAGTGCTTCTCCTGAGGCTCGCACCCTGTTTTTTACAAGGGAAAGTGAGGTGTCACCAAACTGTGCCTCTGGCCCCGGGTTTACAACAACAGCGGCTCCCGCTTGATATTTCCTCACAATTATTCCCCATTCGCGCTCTCGCGCGGGACCTTCTCACAATTTACGCAGAAGTCGCGCTCTCTCGTGAGACTTCCTCGCAATTTTTTTTTGACGCTGCGCCCTCGACACTCAGGAATCTCGCTCTCGCTGTGGATTTCCTGGCGATTTATTTGCGAATCGCGCTGTCGCTCGAGACTTCCTTGCGATTCATGCAGGACGCACGCTTCAGCAACCCGCCTGCTCGACCTGGCCGCCTGGGCCCGCCTTCGCGATCCGCCCGCTAGGGTCTGCCCGCCCGATCTGCCCGTCTGGTCCTGCCACGTGTTTTCTGCTCCTAGCCCCTCTCCTGCTACCCCCTCTCGTGCTCTGTCCTCTTCCCTCCTTCTTGTCCTTTCCTTCCATTCGTCCTTTCTTCCTCGACCTTAAGGACTGCACGTGATACACGGTGCAGGTAATATATATATATATATATATATGTATATATAGTATAATATATGTGTATACATTTACATAGGTATATGTATATACACATCCCTGGGCGGGTACAATCGGAGACGAAGAGGGCGGGTATCAAGGGTTTGGAAAAATCGTTTTGCATGGCACGCGGGCAGATGATAGCGAACAGTCTCAACGCGAATGTTGTTGTAGTTGTTGCTGTTGTGATTGTTGGTGTTCTTGTTCAACTCTCAGTACTGAAGAATAATTATTGTTGATCCCCGTCCTCCAGTGCACATTGTATTTTTGTCAATTGAAGTGCCCGTTCCGGCGCTCGCACCCAGTTTTTTATCAGGGAAAATCTTCGTCCTCAAACTGTGTTGCCGGCCCCTGGTTTACAACATCAGTGGCTCCCGCCTGATACTTCCTCATAATTATTTCCAAATCGCGCTCTCGCGCGGGACTTCCTCACCAGTTATTCAGGAATCGCGCTCTCGCGTGGGACTTCCTCCCATTTTATTCAGACGCCGCGCTCTCGACATTCAGGAGTCACCCTCTCGCTGTGGATTTTCTCACGATTGATCTGGGAATCGAGCTGTCGCTACAGACTTCCTTGCGATTCATGCAGGACGCACGTTTCAGCAACCCGCCTGCTCGACCTGGCAGCCTGGGCCCTCCTTCCCGACCCGCCTGGTAGGGTCCACCCGCCCGATCTGCCCGTCTGGTTCTGCCGCGTTTTTTCTGCTCCTAGCCCGTGCTCCATCCTCCTCCCTCCCCCGTGTCCTTCCTTCCATCCGTCCTCTCTTCCCCCGCTTCAGGGGCTGCGCGAAATACACGTTGCAGGTAAGAAAGATATACCCCCAAGGGGGTACGGTCGAGGACGAAGAGGGCGGGTATCGAGGGTTCGGGATATACGTGTTGAATCGCACGCGAGCAGATAACAGGGAACAGTCTTAAAGTGATTGTTGCTGTTGTTGTCATTGTTCTTGTTGTTGGCGTTGTCGTTGTTGTTCCCCGCATCCTAGGTGACGTTTTTTTTGTTTTGTTTTTTTCTGGACACCCCGCGCAGTCCTCCTCCTCACCCCCTTCTCCTCCTCACACACACCACCATCATCGTTATCATCGTCATCACCACCACCAGCACTCATTCATCATCACCATTGTCATTATCATCACATTCGCACACCTCCTCATCAGCGTCACTATCACCAACTCACCATCATTCATCCCTAACACCATCAGATCGTGATCATCGCCCAAGACGGAGCCTCGTCCGTGAGTGAATTGCGAGGAAGTCTCAGGCGGGAGCGTCCTCCCTATGTGGTCCGCACTTCATGTTGGTAATCCGAGCGGGTCATCGGAACCTTGTGGCTGTTTCATTTTTTGATTTTTCAGGCCTGAATCTTGAGGAAGTCTCAGTCGGGAGCCTCGACTGTGAGTGAATTGCAAGGAAGTCTCAGGCGGGAGCCCCCGCCCAATGGGGTCCGCATTTCATCTAGGTAATCCGAGTGGATCACCGAATCTTGTAACACTAGTCATTTTCGGGCTCCTCAGGTTTGAATATTGAGGAAGTCTCAGGCGGGAGCCTCGTCTGTGAATGACTTGCGAGGAAGTCTCAGGCGGGAGCCTCCTTCCTATGTGGTCCGTACATCATGTTGGTAATCCGAGCGGGCATCGGAATCCTGTAACAGTAATCATTTTTGGGTTCCTCAGGCTTGAGTCTTGAGGAAGTCTCAAGCGGGAACTTCGTCTGTGAGTGAATTGCGAGGAAGTCTCAGGCGGGAACCCCTTCCCCATGGAATCCGCATTTCATGTTGGTAATCCGAGCGGGTCATCGGAATTTTGTAAGTGTCGTCACTTTTGGTCCCCTCAGGCTTGAATCTTGGGGAAGTCTCAGGCGGGAGACTCGTCTGTGAGTGGATTGCGAGGAAGTCTCAGGCGGGAGCCTCCTCCCTATGGGGTCCGTTTTTCATGTTGGTAATCCGAGCGGGTCATCGGAATTTTGTGACTGTTTTCACTTTTGACCCACCCTCCCAACACATAAGTTGCTCCCGAACTGCAGCGTGTTCATCGGTAATCTTGGCATGGACAGCTACTGGGAACCAAACAGACCCCATATGCGCAACGCCTGGGCGAGATGCACCAGGCATGCCAGGCGTGACACGCGCGCCGGGCACGGGCACGTGTGCTGCGCCAGATGCGCCACGTGATACGCGTTCGCCTCGTGTGCCGTATGCTCCAGCCGCACCAGGCGCGCCACGTTCGGGGCAAGCGCAGAGTGTGCCAGGTGCGCCTGCGCACGTGGCAGTACACATCGGGAAACGTGTCGGCTCCCACAACCCATGTCGAAAACCAGTGCGCAGTCGCGGCCGGGTGGCGTGCTCCATCATTCTCTCTCCCCATTGTCCCTTCCCTCCTCCCTTCCCTGTTTTAGGGGCTGTGCCAACAACACGTGGCAGGTAAGGCAGGTATACTCCCAAGGCGGCGGGTATGATCAAAGGCGAAGAGGGCGGGTTTCGCGGGTTTGGGATACACATGGTGAGTGGCACGCGAGCAGGTAAGAACGAACAGTATTCAAATTATTGTTGTTGCTGTTGAGCTGTTTCGGGGATCCTGAATCTTGGAGGTCCCCAGAGTCCGAGAAAAGGGCCAACAGCGCCCGCACATATCCCGAAACCGTGCAGATCACTGGCCCTTCGAACCTCCAGGGTCGAGTGCAAGACTTGGTAGGGCATTTCTTGTTCGATTCAGGGTCCCCCGGGCCAGTCTTTCACTTGCCCCAGGACACGGCTTCCAGAGGGTGACATTTAGCTAACACCGCAGGTTTCCCGAAGAGAAGACTTTGGATGTTTGAGCTCTTCCCGCGAACAGATGCGCCGATTCCCGTGCCCCGTCGGGCAGGGTTCCCCCCACGAGTCTGCCAGAGAGGACGGAGAGATCGTGGACGTGATGGACCACCACCTCGCCATGACGTGCGAGGCGTTCACCGTGGTGGACCTCGGGGTAGAAACAACCGTAGCCATGCTTGTAGCGACAGTCGGCCTCCTCCCCTCCAGATCCTGGCCTTGACCCAAAGAGGTAGATCAAGTTTTTTCGCAGTGTTGGGCCTCTGGAGGCCGTTCCGGGCCCCAGGACCGTCAAGAAAAACGACTCGGGATTCTGAAAGCGGTCCTTGAGGAGCAGTCGAAAGGTCTGGGGGAAAACATCACCAATGTGACGTGAGTGTGAAGGTTGGGTGTGAAGGTCCTCTTCTCTCCATGCCCCTCTCCCTGTCCTCCTCATCCTCCCCCCTTCCTCTCCCACTTTTGCGGGAGGAGGGCGAAGCTCAGAATCTCCGTGGTTTTGCCCGCCCTCGCCAAGGTGGACTCCACATCCATCCCGACCGGGGAGATCCGACATGTCGCCGGCACGCCGTTCGACTTCACTGGCGCTGGACGTAAGATCGGCTCTGCCATAGAAGACAGCTGCGAGCAGCTCGAGTTTGGCCGTGGCTACGACCACAACTTTGTCCTGCCCGAGGCTCCTCAGGGCACGATGCAGCTGTGCGCCCGGGTGTCGGAGCCAACGTCGGGGCGGACGCTCGAGTGCCGCACGACAGAGCCTGGCGTCCAGTTCTACACTGGCAATTTCATGGATGCCAAGAACGGGAGCGGGAAAGGGCAGCCGCTGGCCCATCGGACCGGGTTCTGTCTGGAGACGCAGCGCTTCCCAGACAGCCCGAACCATCCTTCCTTCCCGAGCACGCGGTTGGGGCCCGGAGAGATCTACCAGAGTGCAACGGAGTACCGCTTCAGCGCTGAGTAGGCCCGAAGAGCCAGGGTCGCAGGTTGATCTACCTTGTCGGAAGGCGAAATGCGTGCCATCGTGCTCTCGCGTGCAAGCTTTTCTATCGTCCTGGTTTATCGTCCTGGTTCGCAGTACCATCGCTCAGATCGTTTATGTCCTCAGCGGTTCCATCGCTGGCTATACTTTTCCTATGCCGCCCTGTCTGCGTTGTTCCTGCTTCCGTGGCTGTTTCGCAAAACCGTTCTGCGCTGCTCCGTCCCGCTCGCGTTTCATCATACCTTCCAAGCGCGATTCAGTATAAGCATGCCACTCCTTGCTCATAAGGTGAGGTAACAGCGTCTCTGCAAACCTCTGATGTTCAAAAGTGAAACAAGGTGAGGTAACACGGGGAACAAGTATTCAAGTCGCATGCGCGAAATCAGTCGTTGTTCTGCTTGATTGCACGGCGCATCAGCATGGTTTTGTCGTGCCACCCGTCGTATCATAGTCTTGGCCATTCGCATATTCTGCGATCATGTGCTCGCTGCCTGCACACACTGCATTGCATGCAGTGGTGCCGCCTCCTTGTCCGTATCTTCTTCGTCCTCCTTATTTCTTCCAGCACGCATCACGGTAGCGTGGTGCGACAGTGGTAACGAAGGCAGCGGATAGATAGCGCAGGAGGAGAAGAAGGAGCAGGAGGAGGAGGAGGAGGAGGAGAAGGATCAGGAGGAGGAAGAGGTGGATAAGGAGGAGGAGGACGAGGAGGAGGAGGAGGAGGAGGAGGAGAAGGAATCTTCCTTTTGTTGCCCATCTTGCTGCTCATCCCGTTCCTGCTTCCCTGAGTGATCGTCCTGGCTGACCCCGCCCGTCCGGTGGTGGCAGCATCGCAGCCCGTGCCCCCCAGCCGGATGCATTTCCGCGTGGGCAGACGGCCCAGCGAAGCCCCATCACAACGGGGCTTTCCCGCGAGCTGGGCACCACGCTCTCGAGGTCCGCTCCTCGAGCCGCCTCCGCCTGCCGACATCCGACGTCGTGGGGCAGCTCCCAAGTTCTCTCCACCTCCTATGCTCTGCTCGGGTGGGCCCCCGACCGCCTTGACCCAATCAGCTGAACACTCCAGCGGGACCTGGACAACCAAAACATCCGACGTCGTGCTTTTGTTCGCAAAGTGGCTTCCCAGAGAACCGGGGACGAGCTTCTCATCCCGAGTCGTTTTTCGACGGTGTCGCGTGGCCCTGTAGGGAGCTCCCACACGTTCACGTTTCGTGCTTCCATCGGGATCTCCACCGAGGGCCCCAGTGGCAGCGCTCGCATGGCACCACCGCCCTATGTCAGAACACCGTCGTGGCCCCATAGGGACCTCCACCGACGGACCCAGTGGCTGCGCTAGCATGGCATCATCGCACCAATTTCGGCACACCCCTCACACGGATCGTGGCCAGATAGGCAGGTCCACCGAAGGCCCCAGCGGCTGCGCTCGCATGGCACCACCGCGCCCATTTCAGCACACCCCTCGCACGTTTCGTGACCCATAGGGAGCTCCACCGACGGACCCAGTGGCTGCGCTAGCATGGCACCACCGCGCCACCTTCGGCACCCCTCATACGTTCCGCGGCCCCATAGGGAGCTCCACCGAAGGCCCCAGCGGCTACGCTCGCATGGCACCACCGCGCCCATGTCGGCACACCCCTCGCACGTTTCGTGGCCCCACAGGGAGCTCCACCGACGGCCCCAGTGGATACGCTCGCATGGCACCACCGCGCCCATTTCGGCACCCCTCATACGCTTCGTGGCGCCATAGGGACCTCCACCGACGGCCCCAGTGCTTGCGCTCGCATGGCACTGCCGCGCCCATGTTGGCACACCTGGTCCCATAGGGAGCTCCACCGAGGGCTCCAGTGGCTGCGCTCGCATGGCACCACCGCGCCCATTTCGGCACACCGCACACACGTTTCGTGGCCCCACCGCGCCCATTTCGGCAGACCCCTTACACGCTTCGTGGCCCCATAGGGAGTTCCACCGAGGGCCGCACCCATTTTGGCACACCCGTCACACGTTTCGTGGCCCCATAATCAGGAGTTCCCCCGAGGACCCCAGTGGCTGCGCTCGCATGGCAACGCTGTGCCAGCCTATTTCGGCACAGCATCGTGGCCCCATGGGGATCTCCGCCGAGGGCCACAGTTGCCGCGCTCGCATGGCACCACCGCGCCCATGTCGCGACACCCGGCGCACGTTTCATGGCCCCATGTGGAGCTCCGCCGAGGGCTCCAGTGGCTGCGCTCGCATGGGGCCACCGCACCAAGTGCAGCTCACCCCTCAGACGTTTCGTGGCCACAAAGGGAGCTTCACCGACGGCTCCAGTGGCTGCGCTCGCATGGCACCACCGCAACGATTTCGCCCCCCCCCCCCCCCCGTCCTCCCCTCCCCCGCACCCCCACGATTCGTGGCCTCATAATGAGCTCCACCGAGGGCACCAGTGGCTTACGTCGCATGGCACCACCGCGCCCATGTCGGCGCACCCCTCACGCGGTTCGTGGCCCCGTAGGGACTTCCACTGAGGGCTCCAGTGGCTGCGGCGCTCGCATGGCACCACCGCACCAATGCCGGCACACCCCTCACAGGTTTCGCGTCTACATGGGGAGCTCCACCGAGAGCACCAGTGGCTGCGCTCGCATGGCACCACCGCGCCTATGGCGACACACCCCTCACACGTTTCGGGGCCCCATAGGGAGCTCCAACGACAGCCCTACCCGCAACGCGGTACTCACAGTTGCGTATGGTTGGGCACTGCGCCATGATAATTTGTGCAACATCGACGTTTCTGATCATTTTCGGTCTCCTGGGGGCCTCACCAGGTTCTGGGACTGTCAGAAACGACCCAGGATGAGGAGCTGGTCCCCGGGAAGGGGTCCAGACCTCTGGGGAGCCATCTGGTGAACAAAAGCAAGACGTCGGCTGTATATTTTTCTAGTTCCCACTGGATTTCAGTTCGTTGAGTCAAGACGGTCGGGGACCTCCCCAATCAGAACAGAAAAGAGTGAGAGAACAGGCGTTCTGGGTCCTCTGCAGCTCTGCAGCCGCCCTGCAGTCGTTGCCGTGTCGTCTGCTCTCTGTCTGGCCTGCTCCAGGTCAGTCCGCCCTTCAGAGCAAGGGCGCGCTCCTTCCTTAGGTCCTACTCAAATCTCCTCTGTAGCCGTTTGGGCTCGAGGACTGGCAGGCTCAGACCGACCATGAGCCACCCGTCTGCCCTTGGCGCAGCCTCCGCGAACATGCCGTGCGCCGGCGCGGGGGCCGACGGTGTCCTGAGGCGGCGGCGGGCGCTGGTGCTGGGAGGCTGGAGCCCAGGCCCTCTGGACGCGCTGCAGGCCCACCTCCGCGACGTGGATTTCTGGGAGCCTTCGATCCCCATGCCGCCCTCGGGCTGCCTCTGGTGCCTCAACCCGTTCTGGGGCCTGCTGCTGATCTACGCTGCGGTCCTGCTGCCCTGGCTGCTGGGGGTGGTGGAGGTGCCGGGGCTGCCTGTTTGGGCGGCGCGAGCCCTCGTGCTGTGCGGCAGCGCCGTCGTGGCCAGATATCGAGAAGCCTGCGGCAAATCACGTAATCGTGCCAGCCCAGCATTCTGGGTGGTGACTGCTCAAGGGGGCGCAGGAGGCCGTCACGTGTGACACCTCGTGCCACCATGTTTGGGAGAGCCGTGCTGAGGACGATGAGGATTGTGATGATGATGCTGATGATGATGATGCTGCTGATGCTGCTGATGATGATGTTGCTGATGACGATGCTGCTGATGACGATGCTGCTGATGATGATCATGGTGATGGTGTTGTTGCTGACGATGATGATGGTGATGGTGGTGGTGATGATGGTGATGATGCTGGTGATGACGATGATGAGGATGCTGATGATGATGATGATGATGATGATGATGATGATGATGATGATGATGAGAGCGATCATGATGATGATCATTATGATGATGCTGATGGTGATGATGATCATGATGATCCCGACGACGATGATGGCGATGCTGATGATGATGTTGATGATGGTGTTGCTGCTGATGATGATGATGTTGGCGGTGGTGATGCTGCTGACGATGATGATGGTGACCATGATGATGATAATGGTGGTGGGGATGATGATGATGGTGATGCGGGTCATGATGAGGACGATGCTGATAATATGTTGTTGTTATTGTTGTTGTTTTGTTCTTGATGATGATGACAGTCATGATGGGATGGTGATGATGGTGGTGGTGATGACCATTATGATGCTGGTGATGATGACGATGATGCTGCTGGTGATGATGATGAGAACAGCGATGATGATGATGATGATGACGACCATGACGATGATGATGATGATGATGATGGTGATGCTGATGATGACGATGATGCTGCTGGTGATGATGGTGTGAGCAACGATGATAATGATGACGGCGATGACGACGATAATGATGATGCAGATGCTGATGATGATGATGATGATAATAATAATGTTGTTGCTGCTGATGATGGTGGCGATGGTGATGCTGCTGACGATGATGATTGTGACCATGATGATGATAATGGTGGTGGGGATGATGATGGTGATGCTGGTCATGATGAGGATGATGATGCTGATGATGATACTGACGACGATGATGATGCTGATGATGATGCTGATGATGCTGTTGATATTGTGGTGTTTTTTGTTGTTGACGATGCTGACGATGGCGATGACGATGGCGACGAGGGTGATGCTGCTGATGATGATGCTGATAATGATGATGTTGTTGTGGCTGGTGATGGCGATGACGATGGTTATGCTGCTGACGATGATGCTGCTGCTGCTGATGATGATGATGATGATGATGATGATGATGTGGATGCTGATGTTGATGATGACGATGATGATGCTGCTCCTGATGATGATGATGATGATGAGGTGGTGGTGGTGGTGATGATGATGTGATGATGATGATGATGATGGTGGTGGTGGTGGTGATGATGATGATGATGATGATGATGATGATGATGATTTGTGGTCGCAGTGGTGTGAATACACATATCCCACGATGCCATGGTCGTTAGCGGGGAGCCGCAGCTGTGCGTTGCAGACGCAACGGTTACCCGATGGTCCGACACACCCTGTTGTATGTGCACCCCACCGCGTGGGTATAACGGTCACTGGTGACTGGGGAACGACTCCATCTAGGCAGTATGGGACCGAGGAATCATGAAGATGATGACCCTGCGTACGTCATCACCCAGGAAA